CAAAGTTATTTTCTGTCCACTATACACCTAACCAATACAAAAAAATTGATAAAAAATACTTTTTCCCAAAAACTGGTAGGATTCCCATGGATTTACCCATATATTAGTGTCAATAAAATGAGTCGCAGTTTAACGAAATACTTTATGTAATTAAATCTTTAGATGAATAGATAACACTGTTTACGCCAGCGGATGTACGAGCGTATAACATATTGTGTAATATTTTATAGAAAGTAAGAAGGAAATAATAAAACTACTAATGATTGTTCATCTTTAACTTTTTATTATCGTTTAAATTGTCTCATTTCAATATTATAAAGATAGTACTTCCTATTTGCTACATGAATTACATAGGTCAGTCAAAAAGTTCTCAGACTTTCAAATCTTTATTCATAGAAAAAACATTTTGCTGATCTTTTTATAGTAAGTGTTCGACGTAGTCACCATGATGTTCAAAACAAAGTTTCATCCTCTCAATCCATTTCTGAGGACTTTGATCTTTTGCTATCCAGGCTTTAGATTCTTGTTTGGATTAAATTTTTCGATGATAAAAGCAACTTTCATCGCCTGTAACAATATCACATAATCGCCAGGCACCACTTTCAAATTTCTGTAAATTTTCAATACAAATATCAATACATCGTTTTCGTTGTTGTTGATTGAGTTGATGAGGTACCCATCTTGACAATATTTTTCTTAAGCCAAGATATTGCTTGAGAATAGTATCTACACTACCATGTGATATATCTAAGATGGTAGCAATATAATCAATACTAATATGTGGATCATCATTCACCAGGTTCTGGACAGCATCAATATTTTGTCGTGTAATGACGGATAACGGACGACTAGATCGAGGATCATCTTCTAACGACTCCCCCATCCCACTTGAAAATCGATGAATCTAATGAGCAACTGTGCTATATGAAACAATACCTTGACCATAAGCAGCAGTTAATTCATCATGAATTTGTGTAACAGTTAAACCTAATAACCAACGAGTTTTTATATATGAACGAATACATAGTTTTTCCATCCGAAAGCAGTAGTACTGAAAAAATTCGCTGAAAATTTGCCATAATAGACACTTGTGAAACTTTATATTTGTATTTTAATACATAATAGATATCTCTACTAGAATAGGCCAACATAAGGAATAAAATCAATTAGGATGAAATTTTAGTGTACTATTACAAGAACTTTTTGACTACTCTATGTATAAGTAAATCAATACTAATTTTGATAATACTGAATAAACATCATTTTAACCCTTTGGGAACGGAATTATTTTTCAATTGAAAAATGATTTTTTCGTCAATTTATTATATTTGGGTGAAAATAATTACAGAAAAGCCTTATGAGAATGCATCAAGATAAGAGAAGAAGCACTAATCGCCATCCTTGCCATCATTCTTTTCAGATTCTTGACTTTCTTGGTCGATCAGCCAAGTTTCTTTTTTATCTTTGACATCAGACAAGAGTCTTCTCTTGACTTAACAGCAAGACCTTTACCTGATTTTCAAGAAGAAAAGACTCTTGACAGAACAGACAAATCTTGACCTACCAGCCAAGGCTCGGTCTACATGATTCTTAGCTAAACAGACAAGATTTGTCTGTTCTGTCAAGAATCTTGCTATCATCTTGGACAAGAATCTGAAAAGAATGATGGCAAGAACGTCGACTAGTGGGTGATCATGGCGGCAGTGTGTAGAGTAGAAAGAAAAGAGAAGATTCGAGAAGCATCTATATGACAGAAAGAAAGAGAGAAAAGATATGCATGCGACAGCAGCTGGAACGACCTATTATCTTACAGGTGATAGCAGCTTAATGAGGAACAAATGTTTTTCTTACTGGAAAATAGGTGGTACAGCCCTTGTACCACCGTTCCCAAAGGGTTAATTGTGTGTTTAATTAAACAAGTAGCAATTGACTAGTATAAAGTTGAACCAGAGCTGTAGAATTTCTCTGTAGGCTGCAGCGGTATTACCTGAAAAAATGATTCTCTCGGGAAAATTCTGGAAAAATGGTAGAGAAACAAAGTTTAGAATAGAGCGGAAAAATTCAATAAACAATTTGATGTGAAAGTTTACTGGCTTATTTAAAAGAGAGATAAGTTTTTTCAAAGGAAAAATTCGAATTTTCCTGAAAGAAGTTGAGTTTTCCCGAGGAACAATCCAATTTTTCTATAGACGAAATGTAAACTTCTCTGAATCTGTTGTTATAGTTAAATATTTCACGCTTTTCTGTGTAAAATATTATCCTCTTTGTTTTTGTCTGAAGTAGTTGTAGCAATGTCTCAAAAGTAAAATTTCAAGAGACAAATCTTAAAAACAAAATTTCGAACATACAAAATTTACTAAATTGTAAAACCTTGAAGATATAAAATGTCGAAATAATAATCTCAAAAGTATAAAATTTTGACATTTAAATGTTGCCTTAAGTCATTATTATGTTGATTACCACTTTTTCAAAGCGGGATAGAGAATGGTACAACAACAATAGAAATAATTTGACCTTCTATGTGATAAGCAATGAAAATTCGTCAAGATACTAGTGACGATAGATGCTTTTGTCTTGAAAACAGTTGACTAGTGTCTTCAGATTATCTTCTATGAAAGGGCTCTTTTTTATCTCGCTGCTTTTTTCTCCACACACGCTTTGACGATAAGCAACTGTTGATGAAAATTCACTTCCTCTCTCTTCAAACATGCGACAAAACGACAGATGTCTGGAAAGATGATTGACAGAACAAACGATCCGATAATGGAAAGTCAGCTTCGTAGTGGTCAGTAGCATTTTTGAGATATCTCTTTCTAGTATTTGCCTTTCGAAAATCATTCGTCTAACTATCTCAATATGCATTGTTAAAAAATAAGTGTCTTATTCTTACCTTTTCGAAAACTAGAGAATTTTTTGAAGTTTTCATGAGTGCTTCAGGGATACTACGGCAGATTCTGCGCCCTTGATTCGAACTAGATGATATCCAATTAAAACAACAGACGTTTATATTCTATTTGCCGAATATTAAATATAGAACTCAGTAGAAATGAAAAAGAAAAATTCAATGTTAAACATAAGATGAAGAAACAAAAAATGTGATGAAAAAAGTAGCATAGATTAATGACTAAGTAATGTAAAGATTTAACCGAAAAAAAAATAAAACGATCGATATTGAATTATTCAATGAAAACAATAACTATAATCATACCTTTAGAACACACTAAACAATTTTTGCACAAAAGTAACTATTGTTTTGAGTATTCATATATATCAAATTTCTTGATATAGCAGAATAGAATGAAATCGGTAATAGAGAATATATTTTTCTTATTGATAATTCTGTTTAAAATCAAAACAAATTAATGAAATGTGGGATTCAATTGTAAATGAAATTTTTCAAATCATATTTGAATAGTTGGAGATATTTAATCTAACTTATAACTAGTATGAATCATTATCAACTTTAAATAAATATTCTAATTATTTTTTGTTTATTAGTTTTAATGAAAGTATTCATGAGTTATCAGCAACTATCGGTTATCAAAAAAAAAGAATAAGAAAAAAAGTAAGAAATACAAAAATCAGATATTTCGTTGCCGTAATCTTTTCCATAACATAATTTCACTTAAATATTATCTTCGAGTCTGATACTGTAGTTCGAATATAGTTTATTTTAGGAAATTAATGGATTATGAATAAATAATATAGTTTCGTATAAGATTCCGTGATCATCATTCTATGTAAATTGATGATCAATAAACTCTATTGTTTAGAACTTTGATATATTTAAGACAGAAACTACTTAAGATATATTGACAGCTACGTAAATGATTATATATTAAATATTTTCTTTCATAGTCAATTGTAAAATCTGCATAAAAAGGAAAATTAATTGTAACAAGTAGCGTGGGTCGAGGCGATCCACTAAGTCCTTTGACTGTACAAACTCTTCTATATCATTGCGGTATCTCTTTCTCAACCAGAACAACCGAGCTAAGGCAGTGTACTCTTCTGTCTGCTTTCATGTCATTCACTATAACATTCCATGTGTAACCTCATAATATATCCATTCATGACCTCTTCGTACCAAAACAAAGGTTTTTTTCCTGGTCTGACATGGATTTGAAGTATTACTAGGTATGCACCAGCACCAGTTAATTAGGTACTCATTGCGATTAAGCAGATTTTTCACTGATGTATGATCTATTCAATCAGCCATATTTTCTTTGGATTATTACATTATAATTATCTAGTTCTGATACCCCTAATATAGCGAAGAAAGAGAAAGAAAAGAAACTTGTATTTGGATCATCATCTTTTCCACTATTGTATGGGCAAAGGATAATGTTATCCGTATCTATAAGGAGTTTTCAAGGATGCTCTATGATTCCCTCCGAACAACTTAACTATTCTCACAGCCATAGTGTAATAAATCATGGCCCAAATAACTATTTCTCTTCTCTCTCTGTTCGCCAACCCTCTATCTTGTCTTCTGCTATTGTTAGGAAACAACATTGGGTTGTTCGGGGCGAATGATAGAGAACTATTGAAAACCTTTTATCGACATGGACAACGCTATGTTTTGTCTGTGTAGTAGGGAAAAAAATGATGGCCCAAAAAGCGTGGGTGCTCTTCCAGACAAACACACAAACACATCGTCAATTTCAGGTTTTAGACTCTGACTACAGTCAAGAGAATTTGAATATATTAGAAGAAGAAATATATATCATATTATTGACCATGATAATCAAATAATATTTTACTTAGTATAATTTATTTTATGAAAAGCACATTTTTAGAATAATATTATTCATCGATCAAATAAGAATATATGAGAACAAAATACAGATATTTAATGACTTAAATTAAAAAGAATAAAGAAATTATTTATAATTATACTCATCTATGAACAATGATATATCAAAAGCAATCTGAAAAACTTTCAATACGAGTTTGAATTCATAAAAAATGCCGACTTAAAACTCGGCAATCTAATCCATCAGTAAAAACAGAAAATTTGCACGATTATTATTATACAATTTTTATAGACCAGTAAGTACAAATTTAAAGATTATTTCTATTACAACTATATATGAGCATTGAAACGAAGATAATCAGAAAACTTTATCTATATAAGTGCGAATACAAAACAGGAAGCAAAAAGTGAAATAAGAAGAACGAAAGAAATTCTTTGGGATTACTATAAAAATGATTATAGAAAAATCTATTTTGGAATTATGCTAAAAAGCAAAAATAAGTTATTTTTCTTTCTTCTTTCTCATATAGAAATATCAATTAACAAGTACAAGCAATTATTCGGTCATAGTATATGGTATTGCTTTTATTTGCTTTGGTGTTTTTTGCCTATTTCTCCTCTTCATAACATTATATGTGATCATTCGTTGTACAATTAATTATACTATTTATAAATCGTTCATAGAGAACAAGATACAGGTAATTGTTAGCATAAATTCAGCATGTGCTTTTCATTATATATATCGATATTATGTTGCACGAGATATTTTCCTATCGATAATTCTTGATAAGAGAATATATTATTATGTTTTAATTCATAATCGTTTACTTGCTGATCGGTGAAAGCTTCTTCGTTGTAGCAAACTAATAATAAAGATCTGAAGACTGATGATATTTTCAGAGAAAAACAGAATCAGACATTCATGAGATTAAAAATCAAGTTAGAGAAAAAAGACATCTTACTCAAACATTCTTACTAGATACTGATTGAAATATGAAGGAAAAAATAATTGTAAAATGAAATTCATCTAATTAGATTAATTCTATTAATACTAGAAAAGTTCAAGATATAGTAATATTACTAGGCTATAGCTTTATTACAAAATATTTAAAAAGATATGAAAAGAAATATTTAGACTTGAGTTTCTTTTCATAAAAATGTCTTTTAATTCTTATAATACACTACAATATTTAGTTAAAATATATTCTATCTCTTTATCGTATTTTTTTAATCTTGGATGCTTTTATTTCATGAAAAAAAAATCCATTTTCACTGTAATT